GATCTAGGGTGATCAAAGGGTTAAATGCGTGCCTAGCTATGTGCTTAGTGTACACTAGGGGGTGCTGGAACAAGAGGAAGCGATGGATCGTGTTCCAAGCTCTGCAGGGACACATGATCAATCACTCCCTCCCTGTCACAACAGAGCTGCGCCTATGCGCCCAACGATCTGCAGGTGCCGGGGAACATTCATTCACACAGACTCTCAGATTGGCTTCTGCTGTGACAGTTTACAGCAGAAGCAATCCGCCAGCGGTGCCCGCTCACCCCAGGGAGGCAGAAGTGCAAAATCGCATATATCTGTGATTTTGCACAGGTGAGCCACCCTGTAGCATTAAAACTGCTATAGGGCGGGGTAAAGTGGTTAAAGTAAACCTGGAGTTAGGCTTTAATTCATCTTTGCTAATGACTGCATACATTCGAGAGAACAGATGCACAAAGGAAATACAAAAGGAATAAAACTATGATATACTGTTCATGTTTTCAAGTAGGCAAAAACAAAGTGCGTGATGCCAGTTTTCTCCCAGCCACTGTAAAGCACCACAGTCAACACTGGGGGGGGGGGGTCAGAACCTCTGAACACAGCTTCCTTCATTCATAAGAAATGGTTTAATGCCCGTGTGGACTGTTCATTCAATACATTTTTCCATGTGGGGTTCAATACTCGTGGTCAACGGTACAAGCGATTAGGTGTTGCAAAATGTTCTGTTATCCCCTTATTTTCACCATGAATATGGCTGCTTCCCAATGAGAATTCTCTGATGTAATAGATTTTCTTTTTCCAGTGAAACATTTACCACACCCTGAACAGGACTACTGTATCTCCTCCGTGTTCTGCGTTTTCTTGTGATGAACAAAAACTGAACGGTAGTAAAACATTTCCCACACACTAAACATGACTCCTGAATCTCATCTGTGGTATGAGTTTTCTAGTGATAAACAAAAGCTGAATGGGTAAAACATTTGCCGCACTCTGCATGTGACTACTATATCTGCTCTGTGTTATGAGTTTTTTTTGTGATACACAAAAACTGAACGGGTAGTAAAACATTTCCCGCACCCTGAACAGAACTACTGTATCTCCTCTGTGTTGTGAGTTTTCTTGTGATAAACAAAAGCTGAGCGTGTGGTAAAACACTTTCCACATTCCGAACATGAATATGGCTTCTGACCAGTGTGAGTCCTCTGATGACCAACAAGAGCTGAATTTTGTAGTAAAACACTTCCCGCATTCCGTACATGAATACGGCTTCTGCCCGGTGTGAGTTCTCTGGTGATAAACAAAAGCAGAGCGTGTCGTAAAACATTTCCCGCATTCTGAACATGAATATGGTTTCTGCCCCCCAGGTGTGAATCCTCTGATGATCAGCAAGAGCTGAACTTGTGGTGAAACACTTTCCGCACTCCGAACATGAGAACGGTCTCTCCCCGGTGTGAGTTCTCTTGTGATTAACAAGAACGGAGTGCGTAGTAAAACATTTCCCGCACTCCGCACATGGATACGGCCTCAGCCCCGTGTGAGTACTCTGGTGTTTGACCAGAGCCGAACTCGTAGTAAAAAATTTCCCACATTCTGGACAAGAATATGGCTTGACCTCGGCATGAGTTCTCTGATGTTGGAGAAGACGAGCATTTGTTTTAAAACATTTTCCACACTGGGAACAGAAAAAAGGCCTCTCACCTGTGTGAACGCGGAGGTGGTAAGTAAGATTGGACTTCTGGCTGAAACATTTCCCGCATTCCGAACACACATAAGGGGTTTCTTCGGGGTCAATTACTGCTTGATTAATCAAGCACAATTTCTGAAGAAAACATTTCCCGCACACTGAACATGGCTTCTCCCCCGAATAAGATCTATGGTGTACAGTGAGAGTGTCATACCTGGTCAAGGATTTCCCACAAATGTAACATGAGAATGTTTCCTCCCCTTTGTGATCTGTATGATGGCTGATGGAAGGGGAGTGATTGAGAAGACTCCCCCCATGTATAGAGGGATCAGATATAAGATCTGCACTGGGAAGGACCGGTTGGAGATTTGGGGTAACCTTTGGGGAGTTATTTCCCAGAGAACTGGACGTGCTGTACTTTACGGAATGTTCCTCCATATCACTACTGATGTGTTGTCCATCTGGGGAAAACAAGGGACAGAAGAGGAAATGAAATAGGTAAAAAAACATTAAAGCTGAAGGTTTGCATTTTCTCTTTCCTGGTTCCTCCTTTTCCTCCTCATCAACATGCTGACCTTTATAAATAAAATCCCTTGCTTTTAATTTCTGAGAATGGAGAAGGAGCGGAGGCACATGACTGAGAAGATATTAAACCTCACCCTGGAGATCATCTACCTGCTAACAGGAGAGGTGAGGAGGATTCTGGGAGGTCACATGACATCACTCTTATCTCTATTAATAAAACACAGACCTGACCAGAGAGGTAAGGAGGATTTGGGGAGGTCACATGACATCACTCTTATCAATAAAACACAGACCTGACCGGAGAGGTGAGAAGGATTCTGGAGGTCACACATGACATCACTCCTATCTCTATTAATAAAACACAGACCTGACCGGAGAGGTGAGGAGGATTCTGGGAGGTTCACATGACATCACTCTTTATCTCTATTAACTACCTGCCGACCGCAGATAGCCGAATGACGGCTGCACTGCAGCTGGCCAGTTCTGAGTGGACGTCATATGACATCCTCCCAGAACGCGCTCTCCTGCGCTCCCCAGGGGGCGCGCACCCGGCGATCTCCGTGATCGCTGTGTCCTACAGACACAGCTGATCACGTGATGTGGTAAAAGGCCAATCACAGTGGCCTTTTACCACCTGATCAGCGGTGTCCAATGACACGCTGATCAGAGGGAAATGCAAGTGCCGGTTCTCGGCTGCACTTTCCTCACGCTGTCAGATCGTGAGGAAAGTACTGCCGAGAACCGGCAGTTGTCAGAGCGGGGATCGGCACCGATCATCAGGGCACTGATGATCAGTGCCCTGATGATCGGTGCCCAGCAGTGACACCCGCAAGTTCCACCCACCTGTGCCCAGCAGTGCGCCCACTAGCTCCGCCCACCTGTGCCCAGCAGTGCACCCACCTGTGCCCAGCAGTGCACCCACCTGTGCCACTCTGCAGTGCCACCTACCTGTGCCCAGCAGTGCCACCCACCTGTGCCCACCCACCAGTGCAGCCCACCAGTGCTGCCAGTCAGTGCCACCAGTCAGTGCCCAGGGGTTGTGCCAGTCAGTGCCCAGCAGTGATGCCAGTCAGTGCCGTCTATCAGTACCCATCATCAGTGTCACCTATCAGTGCCGCCTATCAGTGCTGCATATTAGTGCCGCCTATCCGTGACACCTCATTAGTGCTGTCTATCAGTGCCGCCTATCCGTGCCACCTCATTAGTACTGCCTATCAGTGCCCTTTAGTGCTGCCTATCAGTGCCCATCAGTGTCGCCTATCAGTGCCCATCAGTGCTGCCTCATCAACGCACATTAGTGAAGGAGAAAAAATACCTGTTTGAAAAATTTTATATTAGAAACAAAGAAACTTTTTTTTTTTCAAATTTTTTGCACTTTTTTTTATTTATAGCGCAAAAAGTAAAAGCGCCCAGTGGCGATTAAATACCACCAAAAGAAAGCTCTATTTGTGAGAAAAAAAATGATCAAAATTTCATATGGGTACAATGTTGCATGACCGCGCAATTGTCAATCAAAGTGCGGCAGTGCTGAAAGCTGAAAATTGGCCTGGTAAATAAGGGGGTATAAGTGCCTGGTAGGCAAGTGGTTAATAAAACACAAACCTGACCGGAGAGTGAGGAGGATTCTGGGAGGTCACATGACATCACTCTCATCTCTATTAATAAAACACAGACCTGACTGGTGTCACATAACAGTTATCTGTCCTCATCAGGAATTAAGGCAGGGACCTTACAGGGAAATCGTTTTACAATAAAGACATAGTGACTTTTATCCGAGGAAGTCCATTATAGGAGGAGATTGAGAGAACCAACAACTGGCCATCCAATATTGGAAAGTAACTTTATACATGGACACGGAGCATTAGATTTTCCTTGTTTATCCCTCTACACCATAGTTACTGAACGAGAAGAATTCACAGATCTATTCTGCATTTAGTGTTTATCACTCACCTGTGCTGATCTCTATATGAACTTCCTCTTCTTTGATCTTCACATGTTCTTCTTCAACTTTGACAATAGTCTGAGTGACTCTGGTGGTGTCTCCGGGGTCTGTGAATAAAGCTGAGAGTGAAGCCCCCTGTACTGATATGTATGAGAGACCCCAGAGAGTGTGTGTGGGGGGAGACTGGTCACATCTCAATGACATGATGTGAGGAGGAGAGGTGGAGTCTAATAGAGGCTTATGGCTCCTGACTCCCCCACTGGGCGCATACTGTCCCCCCCATTACTGTCTACTGACAGAGGAGGGGGGGGAAGAAGAGATTGTTATAGTGACTGAACAAGGAGGATCTGGGACTCTTCTCTGGACTTAGTGTTTATTCCTCACCTGTGCTGATCTCTGGAGGGATCTCCTCCTCCTTACATGGCTCATAGCCGGAGTCTAATAGAGGCTGATGGCTCCTGACCCCCCCCCCACTGGGCACATACTGCCCCCATTACTGTCTACTGACAGAGGAGGGGGGAGAAGAAGAGATTGTTGTAGTGACTGAACAAGGAGGATCTGGGACTCTTCTCTGGATTTAGTGTTTATTCCTCACCTGTGCTGATCTCTGGAGGGATCTCCTCCTCCTTATATGGATCATCACCCATAATATACGGCTCTTCTTCGTCCTCAACTTCAACTTTATTCACAATCAGCTCTTTATCCTGGAACACATACACAAGGTTCTTTGTTTGAAACATTATCTGCACTTTGATTGAATGAACCATAACATTAGCTTTCATTAAAACTCTCAGTTCCATCTACCTGATCCTCCTGAGGTATCTCCTGATGTTCCTGAGGGATCTCCTGATGTTCCTGTGTGGAATCCCGGGAATACAGAGGACGGGGACATCTCTCTTGTGGGTTCCCATTACTGGATCCATCTACAGGAAACACACACACTGACTGAATCCATTGTTTCTATGTCTTTATATCAGAGGATGTGTGTATCTAGGTGGATCCTCAATACAAAAATTGAAAGTCTCCTCTTACCCGGTGATGTGAGGAGCGGCCGGTTCTCCATCATGACGTCCCTGTAGAGATCCTTGTGTCCTTCTATATACTCCCACTCCTTCATGGAGAAATAGACAGTGACATCCTGACACCTTATAGGAACCTGACACACACAATGATACAGTCACCATCCAGACACATCCCTTGTCTGTTACTGGAGAATGTCCCAGAATTCCCGGCACCGCTCACCTCTCCTGTCAGCAGCTCAATGATCTTCTGGGTGACTTCCAGAATCTTCTTCTCATTGTTTATCTCTGTTATCAGGGAGCGAGTTGGAGGTTCTGTCATGGAGCTGTGTTTCCCGCTCCAACTTTGTGATACGTGAGTCATGTGATCTTCAAATGGCTTCTTCACTATAATGCATTCCTATGTTTCAGAAGAGAAATAAATATCAGTACATAAGCAAGTAAAATAAATTCCGATTCACTGTAAACAAATGCAGTCATCTGCGACTGGGAGTTCCCAAAATCCATCACTTCCCTAGTCAGGTCAACATGGTAAAATAGCAATGAGCAATGTCATGTTCCACTCCCAGAATCCTCCTCACCTCTCTGGTCAGGTCTGTGTTTTATTAATAGAGATAAGAGTGATGTCATGTGACCTCCCAGAATCCTCCTCACCTCTTTGGTCAGGTCTGTGTTTTATTAATAGAGATAAGAGTGATGTCATGTGACCTCCCAGAATCCTCCTCAGCTCTCTGGTCAGGTCTGTGTTTTATTGATAAGAGTGATGTCATGTGACCTCCCCGAATCCTCCTTACCTCTCTGGTCAGGTCTGTGTTTTATTAATAGAGATAAGAGTGATGTCATGTGACCTCCCAGAATCCTCCTCACCTCTCCTGTCAGCAGGTAGATAATCTCCAGGGTGAGGTTTAATATCTTCTCAGTCATGTGCCTCCGCTCCTTCTCCATTCTCAGTCAGGTGATCAGTTTTGCCTTCACTTTGGCTGCCTATATGTAAAGAAAAAAAGAGAACCTGTCATACCTGTGGAAACACACACCAAGGTCTGAAGTCATCTGCTAATATACAGAATTGATAATAATATGGTACAGCTCACAATCAGCAGCCCAACTCACCTCATAGGACATATTGCAATACTCAGCCCTGGTATGGGGCTGGGAACAGGAAGAAGAGGATCCTTTTAGTGCAGGGGTGCCAAACTGGCGGCCCTCCAGCTGCTGCCAAACTACAAGCCCCACGCGGCATTGCAAGACTGACAGTTACAAGCATGAGTCTCAAAGTAGAGGCATGATGGGACTTGTGATGTTTCGCAACAGCTGGAGAGCCGACAGTTTGATACCGCTGTTTTAGAGGGAACCCAGTGAGCCGTAAACACCTCAATCTTACATTCCAAGAAGGATCTGACTATGAGTTCCCCTAGGATGTGATAACAAGCTTGGTGTGATCTGCCCGATCCTACTTAGAGACAAGGAAGGAGATGACTGCCACTTAGTGTTCCAGGTTCATCACATAAGCACCAGTCATGGCCCCTCAAATCACTCCAACAGGAGTCTTCCTTTTGTCTCTCCATGGTCACCTCTGTCCCACCCTTCTTAATAAGCTCCTACTTCTGTGAGCACCACCAAGAAGATCTATAATTCAGCCTTCAAGAGATGGGCCAGATATGATGTTATACTTACCTGATCTGTGCAATATTGCGCAGAGTGGTTCCGAACTCCTTCTTCTAGCAGTTCCCTGCCAGCGTTGTCCACTCCCCCTTCCTCCAGGTGCCTCTTTCGTGAGCCGGGTGCCATGACGGCAGCTGTGTGCACAATTCTGAGCTGAGCTTTGTGTGTCCACAGACAGACACAGCACTGGTAAACCTATGGCTCCCACTGCCCCCAGTATCTCCTGTGAGATCAGGGAGTGAGGGGAGCAGTTAACCCCTGTCGGTGTCTCACGGAAAGGTCCCAATCTCCCCTTGCGATCCGGACCTTTTCTGATCATGTGACAGCAAATCCCAACAGTCACATGACCCTGAAACCTCACCCCCGCTTCCAGGAAGCCCCTAAAGGGCCGGGAGGTGGCGGCGTGATGTGATTAAGCAACAAGCTGTGACGGGGGAAAAGAAAGTGGGCGGGGACTACATAGGGAGGGGGGAGGGATCATAATGACAAATAAAAAGTGATTGTAAGTGGTGGCGCACCGAGAAGGCCTCACCGAGAGAGGGAACACATTCAGAACCACCCCGGGGGAATGGGGTAGACGGAGAGCTGCAGCGGCAGACTGAGGCAGGACAAGGCCTATGTAACAGGACAGCGGGACTAAGGCAAAAAACACACAAGCTGGTCCCCAATAATCCGGGACAGTTGGGATGTACGCCGTCCCCACCCTGCATTACACGGTTTGTGAGAAGAGCGTCCCTCTGTGAATGCGACACTAGATCAAGTGGAAGGAAAACCTTTGCCAAACATTTAAAAATATCGGCCAGAAAGAAACAGGAGTCCAACGTCAAATGAGACGCGTCAGCACCATATAAATACCTGGAACAAAGCATTCCCACCTTTATTTTTTATTTATGCAGAGCATGTGACCTGAGTCACATGACCCCCTCCCATTTACATGCAGTGCTAGGTCCCCTTTTCTTTTATAATAAGAAGATATGATTACCTCCTCCTCCCTGGGCACACACTCTGCAGCAGGAAGTTTAATTCAGCTACAAAAGCTCCTCTCTCCACCTTTTCCGGCTACAACAAAATGGCCGCCACGCTAAAGACACTTCCTGTTCACACCTGGAACGCGGTCGCCCTCTAGTGGTGGCTCTGACTCCTCTGGAAGATTGTCCTGTCGCTGCCATGGGCGTCACTATGGCAACCAGGACGGAGTGTTTCCGGAAGCAGCAGGAGGGAGCGCTTCCGGTGCCGAGGAGACGAGTGATGATAATAAGTGATAGGAGGAGGCAGAGTTCATGGCTGAGGGGAGCCTTACTGGTACCCTGAACTGAAAATTATTCTTAACCCCTCGCCCCCCCCCCAAGGACTTCCGTCCCTTCCTGACCAGGCCATTTTTGCGTTATGGCACTGCGTTACTTTGACAATTGCGTGGTCATGCAACACTACACCCGAATGCAATTTATGTCCTTTTTTCCTCACAAATAGAGCTTTCGGTGGTATTTGATCACCTTTGTATTTTTTTGCGTTACTTTATCTGACAATTGCGTGCTCATGCAATGGTGCATCCAAATGAAATTTACGTCCTTTTCCCACAAATTTTTTTTCTTTCTGTGGTATTTAATTGTCTCTGTATTTTTAAATTTTTGCGCTATAAAAAAAAAAAGACTGACAATTTTGAGAAAAAAAAAGAATATTTTTTACATTTGCTATTAAACATGTCCAGTAAAAAATCAAATTTTGTCATAAATTTAGGTCCCAAAATGTATTCTGCTCCATGTCTTTACTAAAAAAAATCCCAATATGTGTAAATTAATTGGTTTATGTGAAAGTTATAGCGTCTACAAATGGCAGTATAGATGCTGGAATTTTGAAATTTTTTTTTACTAGTAATGGCGGCGATCTGCAACATAGCGGGACTGCGGCGGGCATTCTGACACTGGGGGGGGGGGGGGGGGGAACTGACTTGGTGTCACTGACATCCCCAGTTACATCAATACAGTGATCAGTGCTAAAAAAAAAAGCACTGACACTGTACTAATGGCACTGGGCAGGAAGGGGTTAACATGTGGGGCAATCAAAGGGTTAACTGTGTGTAGGGAGTGTTTTACTAGGGGGTGGGGTCTGTGTGCTTCACTGTAATCACACTGCTCTGGATGGCTGTGCTGAGCAGTGTGCCCAAGCTAACAGGGAGGAGGACTGTTCGTAAACAAAACAGTTCTCCTCCCTGTTGGAGATCCTCAGAAATCACCGGGCGCTGGCGGGTAATCGCTGGCTGGGACCCTGTGATTGACAGCCGCAGCCGCGAATGGCAGTGCAGGTAAGGTGCATGCCCCCTACCTGAAAATGCTAGATCTCGTATATATATACGTGATATTGCACACCCCTGCCGCCCTGTTGCAATATTTCTTCTATAGGACAGTCGGGAAGCGGTTAATAATAATGAAGTAGATGTTACTTCCCATTTCTTAGAAAGCGAATCTCCTTCTTTCCTCTGATGGATGAAATCAGGGATGTTCTAGAAGGAGAATGGAAATAGAGAAAAGATTTTCTCTCAATCGCCTGGGCAAGCTATATCCGCTATCAGAAGCAGACTCCAGAATGTTGGATGGTCCACCGGTAGTTGATGCAGCGGTGGTCCTCTTAGCAAAAAAACATAACTTTACCTATGGATTACTTAACCTCATTTAAAGACCCCCTAGACAGACGACTAGATCTTGACCTAAAGAGGGCCTATCAGATGGCCGGAAATGCCTGCAAGCCAGCAATTGCGCTGACATCCGTCTCCAATGCCTTGCGAGTATGGACAGACAACATAGAGCTGGCTATTCAACAGGGAGATCCAAAGGAAGACATAGTCAAAGCTCTGGATGAGCTCAAGCTCTCAGCCGACTTCATTGGTGAAGTAGCTATTGATCTTCTGCAAGATCGATACTCCATGCTGTAATGGCAAGGCAGGCCTTATGGTTGAAGCCGTGGGCAGCCGGCACGGCATCAAAACAAAATTGGTGTAAAATCCCTTTCTATGACAAAGCACTGGTTGCAGAGAGGTTGGAAAAGGCTATTTTCCATGTTACAGGAGGAAAATCAGGCTTGTTACCGCAAGATAGAAAACCTAGACATACCAGGGGATTTACTTCAAGATTTCAGCAGTTCAGGGGCAAAGATTACAGGCAGTTCAAACAGGGCAGAGACTCAAGAAAGACCTGGAGAAGCACGCAATCCACTTTTCTGAGGGCCCATAAACAAAAGGCTCTACCTAAACCGCAGAACACCACCAAGTCCTTTTGACGCCAGGCGATTGCAGTAGGAGCAAGACTGCAGCATTTTGCCAAGGTTTGGATGCAAAAATGCCAAGATCCCTGGGTGGTCTCTACAGTTCAGTTTGGACACTTCTGGACTTTCTCAGGCTGGCCACCTCACCTCTTCTTCACCCCCACGAGAATACCA